GTACCTTACACTATGATGATTAAATAATTTTATAATAATAAAAACCTGCATCTAAAACTTTTTATTAGTGACTGCATAGTAACTGTAGTACAACCCCACTATGGAACATATGCAGGTTTTAAAAGCTAAACAGCGCCAGGCAGTGGTGGCGCACGTCTTTAACACCAGCACCTGGGAGGCAGAGGCAGGTGGATCACTGTGAGTTCAAGACCAGCCTGGTCTACAAGAGCTAGTTCCAGGACAGCCTCCAAAGCCACAGAGAAACCCTGCCTCAGAAAACCAAAAAAAATAAATAAAAAGAAAAAAGAAAAAAACCTAAATAGCTATGTGAGTCAAAATATAGAAGTATACACACAATATACACATATAATACCAACTTTTGTCTATGGCTAACTATAGAAAAACTTAAAGAAGTCATTGTCACCCTTATCTGAAGAGTGGGATTCAAGTAGCTGAAGGAGATCTGTGGCTGTGCTGTTTTTTTGTTTTGTTTGGTTATTTTGCTTTATTTGAGTGAGAATATAACCATGTTCAATTTTTGTACCTTTTAAAATACAAAAAAAAAAAAAAAAAAGGTGTGAGGCAGTGGTGGCACAGGCCTTTAATCCTAGCATTCAGAGGCAGGAGGCAGGTGGATCCCTGTGAGTTCAAGGCCAGCCTAGTCTACAAAGAGAGTTCCATGATAGATTCCAAAGCTACACAGAAAAACTGTCTTAAAAACAAACAAAACAATACACAAAGGCACTTTTCTTTGGCACTTCATTCAAGATCTGAGGCTCTTTCAATTCAGCCACTGGATTGGGCTGTGTACTTGTTATTTGTCTCCCTCTCACACATAAACATATAAAGGTGAACTCCTTATGGAGCTGTATCCCCTGTGGTAGGCCTGGCAGATTTGGTTGTCTAGTATTGCTACAAAGAGGTGAAAGAGAACAATTTGCACAGAAAGCCCCTTCTTCAGTAACAAAAGATGTTAAGAAAGGAGCAAGGGAGAATAGCTTTCTGGGCCCATAGAGCAGTTTCTGTGAAAGAAAATAGACCTTAAGGAAGGGGCAATATTTAAAATAAAATAATAATAGTAATAATAAAAAGAGGAGTGGAGGGTGCAGGGGAGGAACTGAAGCCTGGACTGAACTTTAGACCCAGCTAGGTCAACAGCAACTCTCTCTGCTCATGCTCCCAAATTTGCAAAATTAATGGGAGAGGAAGTACTTTCTTAATTCTAACTGTATATGGGGGAGGGGGTTGGAAGTGGTGGTGGATTCTGGTTATAAAGAGATGAGCTTTGTCCTCTGGTGGGTCACAATGTAAGTTAAAAGGTTAAATTTGCAAAATTAATGGGAGAGGAAGTACTTTCTTAATTCTAACTGTATATGGGGGGAGGGGGTTGGAAGTGGTGGTGGATTCCGGTTATAAAGAGATGAGCTTTGTCCTCTGGTGGGTCACAATGTAAGTTAAAAGGTTGGGTTTGTAATTAAGCCGCTCCGGAGCCTTCCTGCCAGCTCCACTGAGTGGTGGATTGACCTTCATCACTCAAACTTGCACAATTCATTCTCATTATAAATAACCCTGGTGCCATGTTTACTCCATCGCTCAGTTCATCAGCGCATCTCCAGGCTGGGAAAGCATGGGATCCAGAGGATAAAAAGGAGCAAAAACTGCACGTGGGCACTGCATACCTGCGTGCCAAGACGTGGGGAGCTTCGCTTATATTAACAACTGTAAGTCTAAAAAAAGAAAGAGCACGCTCAATGTCATTCCCTCCCTGGCACCCGAAATCGGGTGGTTTTGTTCCTCGGGAATCAAACTCACCTCCAAGAGCAGCCTCTACCGATCCTAGTGCCGCCCTGTGTGAGGCCCCAAGCACCCGCCTGGCCAGCATCACTGTGGGCTCTCCGGCCCCGGGTGCTGTGGACTATTTCCTCCTCCTCCTTCCCGGCTTCTCACCGTGGGCACTGTCCAGGCTCTTGAGCGCCCCGCAGTAAGCGCTGGCAGAACGGGGTATTTTGATTAATATTTTACTTTAGGCATGTCTTTGGAAGATTACCTTAATTAGGTTAACTGATATAGGAATACCCAGCCCGCTGTGAGTGGCACCGATCCCTAGGCAGGGGGCCCTGAGCTGTTTTAAACTAGGGGAATGGAAGGACTGAAGAGATCAGTGAGCAAAAGACAACTCAATGCCTTTTTCTGACTTTGCAGACACACACACACACACACAAACACTTGGCGCTCACTCTCACACACATACAAAAAAATAAACATTTCACTATTTAAAAGTGGCAACATCAAGCTGTACACTAGCAAGCGAGCGTGTACGTGTTCATTTCTCTCTGCTCTTGACTGTATGTATTGTTAGAAATAAGTACAGGGTCCCAAAGAAAGAGACCACCATTCCAACCTTACTCTTGATAAAGAGGTGTGCTGGGAAAGCTGAACACACAGGAAGGGCACTTGGTTTTTATTCAAACTTCGGTGGTGACTGCCTTTTCCCGTTGACTGGGGTCTGATGTCACAGTCTTAACGGAAACGAATTGGTGAATAGAAAATGAAGGAGAACGGAAACACTGCTCTAGGCCATCAAATTCCTGGAGTGCAGTAGTGGACCTTTGTGTAAACAAAGGTTTTACTGGGTGCTGATGGGAATTAAAACATTTTAATAAAGTCTGACAAGGGTAGGGGAAGGGGAGAGTAAAAAGATTTGAATTCCATGTCCTAAACACAAATTTCATAGTATTTGTTATGATAAAGCACAAGGGGAACCTTTGTGGATTCCTTGGCAGGTGAGAATGACAAACATGTCAGGCAGACAGAGCTTAAGTGAGAAATTTTATTAGAAAGGGAAGGGGGAGCCGGGCGTTGTGGCGCACGCCTTTAATCCCAGCACTCTGGGAGGCAGAGGAAGCGGATCTCTGTGAGTTCGAGGCCAGTCTGGTCTCCAGAGCTAGTTCCAGGACAGCCTCCAAAGCTACACAGAGAAACCCTGTCTCGAAAAACCAAAGAAAGAAAGAAAGAAAGAAAGAGA